TACACCACTAGGCAAGCCCAAGAATGCTCGGGAGGCATGGAGATCTTCCGGTATGCTTGCTTGCACCACTACTACCCTCACTTTGCCCGCCACCCTTGGCATCATCGATGACCCTCTTCCTACCAGAAGATTTAACGATACAAAACCGCCGTACCAGGCGGTAACCACAGGGGGGCAGCAGGGAGGCAGGCTGGGCCGGAGTACACCAGCCATGGGACTCATCCTTAAGCCCCGCTTCGTGTATGAAGTCATCATGCTCTCCTGCTCGAACCTGCCCGAGCAGAGCTGGGGCTTCAGAGGACCCTGAAGCGAGAGAATCCTGCAACGTACACCAGGAAGTAGGCTGGGAGGCCCACACCCCACAGGGTGGCGCGAACCCAACAGCAGGAAAGCCACGAATAAGTCCTGACACGAAAGTAACATCGGGCCAAGACAACAGGACGATCATCACAGCCAGAAGCGCAAAGCGCGCGGCCGGATTAACTTGGCGCACCTCTGGGTGTTGCCGCTGCCGCAGGGCTTGAGAAACTGGTTGGAGGCGCCAGGAGAGCACACGCATGTCTTCCATACGGGCCTGGCGCCAACTCGTGAGATCGCCCTCTTGCAGCATGACGTGTGCCGCGTAGCGCACATCGAGCTCACCTGGAGGCCGAAAGAGATGAGGACAACCCGAAGCAGACGCTGAGATGCTGGCTTGAAAATGCTCGTCAGGGGAAAGGCCGAACGGACACAGCGACAGAGTTCAGATTACGGGAAAGCCACTCCAAGGATGGGCGAGCGCGGGTAGGGGCAGGGTGCTGCGACATAGCTGGCAAGATTCACAGCTGTGATGTCACGAGGGGCCACCTCGCGGCCCGCGCACCAGGCCTGCAACTCATGCCAAGTGTTAACCGCCCGGGAGACGGTGGCAACCTCAGTACCCTGCACTAGGTTCTCCATAACCGGGCGCACAGCCTCCTCCTGCGCAGCCGGGCCTGCCGGGTCCAGCCCAATGGCGCTGGCCTCCAACACGCAGCCAATGAGCGCTGCTAGCGCCGGTGCATTGGCTTCAGCCAGGTCCACTGGCTCGGGCTTGGCTCGCCCTGACGGGCGGGGAATGCACAGGGAGCCACCTCGCCTGTTCAACCACGCCGTGCCGCGGGGTGGGTAAAGCTTGCCCATGCGCCTAGAGGCGACCTCAGGGGCCGTGCGGGTGGCTGGTGCAGGAGCCAACTTGGACTTAGGAGCCGCATTCTCGGCCCTAATTTCCTGCAAAACTAGGTCCAAAACGGACGAGCTAGCGGTTCCTGCCACCTGCTGGCGAACTCGCACCCACTCATTCTGCACAGCATAGCCAGCTTCTTCAAAGGCCTGCGCCGCCGTGTCAAAATAGTAGGCAAAGTCCGCGTCATCCACCAAACCATTCTGGCTACGCCAACGAATGACCGCGGCCCGCTCCAGCATCAAAACTCGATCAGCTGCGTCCATTGAGGAATCACCTCAGGAGTAGGAGCGGGTGAGGGGTCACCTTAAAGAGATAAGATACAGGTGAGGAGGCACCTCCAGCACGCAACAGGGGGACACCCCTCACGTGGTAACAGTTGAAGAGTCACCTCAGGTAGAGGAAGAAAAATTACGATGACAGGTGACACCTGCCGTTTTGGCTATGTTTGAGCCGAACATTGCAGATAACAAATGAAGCCTGCTCACCAAGCCTGCCCAAACACAAAGCAGATCAAGAATGGGTTTAGGGCTATAATTTGGGATCCACTTGCTTGAATCTTGCCGTTGACCCTTGGCAGCAGAGGCTGCTAATTACCCCAATCCAACCTACAAATGCTGCAAGGACTGGTGTGGATGGAGGGAATCTTGCAACATCTTGTATACCGAAAAATTTGGGCATTCTGACCATCTGAGATTTCTAGATGATGCAAAGTCTAGGACCATAGATGCATGATGGCCTGGACGACCGGACCACGGGACCAAAGACCAGGAAACCACAGGACTACCAGACCAGAGGACCACCAGAAAACCAGAGGACTAAAGGACCAAATGACCACCAGGACTGGAGCCACATTGGCAATTTACAACATTTGCTGGTCTTCGAACGTTTCAAGTGCTGTAAATTACACCATTGGAACGTCTCCTTTGCTGCAAGTTACAGTATCTGCTGGTCTTGGAACGCTCAAACGCCGTAAATTACAGCACTTGCTGGTCTTGCTCTCAAATGCTGCAAGTTGAACTGTTTCAAAAGGACCGGGGGACCACCGGACCAGAGAACTTGGCAACACAAAGGATCCTTAGCTAAGACAATATCCCCAGGCCTTTGCAGTACCCATCCATGACCACGTTGCGGCACTCAACGCAGAAATCAATCAACGTTTCGGATTCTGTCTGTTACCCAGGCAAAGTGACTAAACTGAAGTTCGCACATTGTGGCCCCAACCTGTACATGCCAAAGGGCAGTGCCCCTGAACGGCCACATCAGCTTACAAAAGACACCGTCCGCAACCGCGTTCTTGAAATTGGCCCCCTCGAAGTTGCCTTCCGCAGCTACCACCTGAAGCAGGCATCAAAAACACAGACGCTTCTCGAAGATGGCATTTTACACTGGACAAGAGCGCATGGGCTTAATTGGACAAAACGTGCGGCGCCATCGGCACTGCGACTGAAAAAAGGATTGCCAGGCTCTGAGACACTTTAAGGGCACAAAAAACCACCCATCCGGCCGTTGCAGCTTCAAATGCATCTCATCAATAAACATCAATTACTGTGGTAAGCGGCCGCAGCAAAAACAAGAACTGCATCCGCCTTGGTCAAAACAGCATTCTCAAAATTCGTATTCGAGAAGTCCCCCTTGTTCATGAGAGCTCCTGCTGCAGAGTTGTTTTGGACTTGCTTATTCTTTCTTATCTAATTTCCAACTGTCTTGCTGATCCTGCCACATCCTTGTCGGCAGCATTGGTGCCTGATCTGATTGAAAGCTGGCAAGCTAGGCTCTGGCTTGGCTCTGGCTTGGGTCTGGGGCCTGCTAGGTTGCATTCTCTGAGGTCATAGAGCTTGTCACGCTGTGCACTGGCCTGTGCTGAGCACGCCGCCATTCCTCTTGCTAGGCTTCTTTTGCCGTGCCTGCGCAATCTGGGAATTTCTCCACCCGCATCGATTCGGGTCATTCTTGTTGATCGGTGGATACCTGCGAAGCTTGAGAGGCATGCCGCTAAAGATGGCGTTGAATGTAGCTATCATGCAGAATCCTGCAGCACTGCAGGCGGAGGCTCACGCGACGCGCCGGTCTCGGGATCCCAAAGCTTCAGCCGCGCTGGGCATCCAGGCCTTCCACGATCAGCCAATGAGCAATGAAATGGAGTTGGGTCCGAAAAAGATGTAAGGCCTTTCTGTGGCCTGACAAGAACATCTTGGGCTAGCTCTCTTCGAAGTCGACGAATGAACAGCTTCTGCAGCTTGTCTCTCAAGAGCTTCAGTCTTGCGGGCTTTTACAATAATATTAGTATTATCCATATTGCCTCGGATCTCAAAGCACAGGACTCCCCGCTGCAAATCAGCAGATTTAAGCCGTTTCAAATTTCGCCACGGCTGCTTCTCTTTGCTAGCCGAGCTGTTTGAGTTTCTAGCAATGCGTAGCTCAGAACGGCCTTGCATTGGCTGTAGCTATAAAGTAGCCGGGGAAAGTTGCTTTCAAAGACCTTCCATAGTCCTTGTACAAGGTCTTGTCTAGTCCTAGGACCCAGGATGCTGATGATGGAATGGCCTCGATTGCCAAGGCTCCCAAGATGCCGGAGGTCATGTGCCGGCCTGAAAATACAATGACTTCAAAACATCGAAGTCGCTCTGCTCCGGGTCAGTCCCGGGCGGCTTGGTCCAGCCGGCTCAGGCGGAGCCTGCCACTTTTTCAAGATGCATGCGGACCTATAGGACCTAAGGCTTAGATATTGCTGACCGGCTGACAAGTGAGCATGAGCGACCAGAAATGCCAGAGACCTGAAAACCACCACAAAGGACATGGCAGCAAGTGCTCCAAACCTGGCAAGCTTGATTTCTTCGTCTTCAGTGCCCTCATTTCCAGCATCGAACAAGACGAAGAAAAACAGACATGCGGCCTGGCATGCCTCGATCTACGCATCACTGACCTGACGAAGAAAAGCAACATGCCTCCTTGTTCGGAAGTTCTTCCAGGTCCGTAGCACTGCTAACACAAAAGCTACATCTACCACGTCTGTGCCATTCTGTGCCACTGCGCCTTGCTGCGAGCTTCCGCTCCGCGAGCCTCCTGCTAGCTATTGCTTGCTGTCACGATGCTTGGAGAAAGCACAGCCACTCGTAACCAAGCCGAGCCGACGCCCCCCTCTCTGAAACAGCGGGCACTAAAGGCTCGAAGCCACCTGAGCCTACACAGCCGCGGCAATCCTCTGTGATGCTGTTCCTAACTGACTGTCGTGCCCTCGCGAGACGAATTGAATTTTTGAAAACCCGCGGAGCGCATCCACAGAGCCTTAAAAATCCAAGTACAATCAACTGACCCAGAGTGCTCAGCTCAGTGAAAGATTGAAGTCTGGGCACATCCTGGGACGCTAAAGCAATCCTAAGAACAGTGTTCACCTACACCCCGAAACCATGGAGGAACGCGCTCTTGCAAGAACCTGCAAGCTGCGCTTGAGCACAGGTACAGTAGGTAGGTGCAGCACCGGCATGCAAGCGACTTTGTAGCCTCAACTACCATATTTGAATTGAAATTGCTGCGACCTCCGCCCTGGCTTGTGGACTGTAGCATGGGAAAGTCTGACTTAAAAATGCGCATTCTGCTTGCTGCCAGCGGCAAATTCTTCCTTGCTAAAATTTCTCTAAAGCCAGACTGGCCCATGTCAATCCCGTGTGTTGTCCGGTGATTTGACTCACTGGGACATTTGCTGATATCGGAGGCTCCACCACCGTGAGGGCTTCAATTGCCCGACTATTTCTGATGCACCGAAAAGGCAGATTCACTTCCGCTTCGGTCGCTGGTTTCACTCCTGCAGATGTTGCTGTCTAGCACGTGGTGTTGCAACCCGCTTCCACTTCGCTGCTTCGCAGCAGAAGCATCCGAGATATCTGGGCTTCATTTTGTGTAAGGTAGGGTTGCCAACACAGGATCTGCATGTCAGACCCTCCATCGGCTGTCCAGTAAGTCTTCGAGTCTTGGTATCTTTAACGCATGTTTAAGATTTCAAGGATGCATATCGTTACATATCGTTACGTACCTGATGGCAGAATCGTGGCGAGGCCAACCTTCTCTACAATTTAGAGCAGGTCATGGACTGTCTGTCCCCTCAATGCTTGACCCTTTTGGGTTGCATTGCTGTTGAGCCCGTGTCCTGCAGCTCTATCATCAAATCTCCAGGCGCCAAGATGTCGCCCTGCTTCTCTTTCGTCCGGCCCTTGCAAGGAAGATCCTCGCAGGACAGCGTGGCATCTTTTGATTTCAGGAATATCCACCGCACGAGCCCGGCTCCTTCACCTTCAGGCCGACCAACTCGTCAGGCACTGGAATCTTCATCTCCTCCGAGGATTTTCAGTATCCTTCCACTGCAGGCCCTCAGCTCTGAGGCCCTGAGGCCGGCACCATCTTCATGGATTCCAAGACGCAGAGAATCTGTCCTTTCTCGAGGGTGTCACCCACCTGGACATTGCTATCACTCTCGAGGCAATGCTGCAAGCAATTGAGCTCTTGCCTTGACGGCATAGGACAAGACTTCTCCTGGAACGACCGTCGGTACCTGTCACGCATGGACCTACAATATGGCGCGCCTGCAGCACCCTGGGCGTGCCTCGAACTTGTTGCCAGGTGTGGCCTTACGAGGTCCGCTGGCTGTTGCCGCGCTGGCGATAGCGTCTGGGTCTGGAAGCTGCACCTAACAGAGAATTGTCACATGATGTCACAGCTGGAAACCATGCATTGCGCAGCCTGGACCACCTGTCCTTCATGCTGGAAGCCTTAGCTTGAACATCTACTTCCAAGCTCTTTGAGCAGTCTGCAAGTTCGCGTCAAAGGGGCTGAGCACCAACTCCCGAGCAAGGCTACCAGGGCCCATGGCAACTCCTGGAGCCAGGCCGAAGCCTACGAACTCAATCTCTTCCTGCAAAGATGCCAACATATGCGAAGCCATTCAAGTTGTTAAAGCCTTCTGATTCGCCGTTTCTCCTCCGGCCTTCTTTGGCAGCTCGCCGTCCAGCTTGTCCATGAGGATCTGGAAGTTGGAGCCCGGTTTCAAGGCCTTTGGCGCGCTGTGGAGCACGGTCGGCGCCAGAAGCAGTGGCGTCAAGTCGGTACCCTTCTCCTGACACTTCCACTGTGAGCAGCACCGAGCTCAGCAACTGGGTCCCAGTCCCACCTGCGCTTTCACGAACTCCAGCCCCTTGCCCTGATATCCCAGAGCGTTGTGGCGTTGAGCTGATGTGAGGTGAGCAGGAAGGTCACTGGGACCAATGAGCTTTCCTTTCTGGGCGAGCGCGGCCTCGAGCTCCTGCGGGAACCGTTAACAAAGCAAAGTGGCTCTCAGCTTCTTAGTTTTGCTGGTCTCTGGGCTGGCCTCGGGCATATTTGCCAAGAGCTTGTCTACCTCCGGGGTCTTGGGCACCAGTGTCTCCCAGCGCTTCAGGCCCACCAGAACATCACCGCCAACTTTTAGCTTACCACCCTTGTTGACCCACTGGCGTACCTTGGTAGTGCACGCATGGCACGATGCCATCCAGCCATATAAAAGTGCGCCAACAGCTAGCACCCCATGCAAAGCACGGGTGCCGCATCTGCCGTTTTGGGCTCGATGCCAGGCTCAATCATGATGGCCTCAGAACGCCCAAAGCTCAGAACTGCGTGGCTCACAGCCTGCACAGCCTGAAATGCTTTTATAAAGCTGCTGAATTCTGTCGTCTTGAAAGGCCCGCGCAATGCCTAGGCGCAGCTTGTACTCAGAGAAGGGGGTGACCGCCCGCTCCAGGGGGAAGACCTCGCTGGCTACCTCCTGGCAATGGGATGATGCGCTGTGCGCAGCGAGGCAGAACTTGCAGAATGCGCGCAAATTGCTTTATGAACTTCTTGGTGAGAAAGGACTAAGACCGTTGGGTTCATGCCGCTGCAGAGCTAAATGCAGAACTGTATCTTACAACAGGCAGCAGGCGCTGACTCTAAATGAGACCGTGTTGCTCCCACCATCCTGCCTTCGCATGGTTGATCTTTCGCACGTCCAAGGAGTATTCTTTAGCAATGCGGATGTCGGAGCCTGGCATAGCATCGAGCAAAAGGTCACAAAGCTACAACAAAACTTGACAATGCACACCGCGACCGCCTTCTGTTCCACCAGCCCAGTCTGAGTCCCAAGGAGTCATCTGTGAGGTGCCTTCGAGGCCCAGGCAATTGCAAGTGAGAAGTGAATCCTCGCGGCGTGCCCCTCGCTCATAAGCCAAGGCTCGACTATCAAATCTGCATAGGATGTTCCTTTGCTGCAGAGTCATGTCTGAGGACCCGAGAAACTTGCTTCGCCTACTGTCCAACAGCCGGTGTTCAGGACTGACACCCCAACCTTACATCTTGTTCAGAATCTCGCGGCCAAACTGTCGAAAACCAAAAGACATCAGCCCTGCACACATACAAAGATCTCCATAGCCTGATGCCAAACCAGCTACTCAAGACAGCCCCATGTTAAAGGATTGGCAGAGGGAAAATCCTGGATTCGCTCTCTCGCACACTTGTCGATGATACAGCTTTCGCTGCCAAATGCCGAGTCTCTCAATTTGCTGCTGGTTGTGGTTGTACTCTGCAAGGGCTGCATGCTGCTCTCCGGTCAAATTCAATGCATCAAGCAGCACCTGAGGCAACCAAGTGACTTCTAACTGAACATCAAGCCTTCAATCAGGGATAATTGCGGTTGCGCCGCTGTGTTGTCGTTGTGGGTGCCGTTCTTGCGTGGGGCAGCATCAATAACCAGCGTACTGAAATTTGCCTGCATCCGCTGCGAATGGCCCTGAAGCCTGTGGAACTAATCAAAACTTGATGACTCCCCATAACGATCACCGGTACAGTGCTCACTCATGCTTCCGCCACGTAGGCTCAGTATTCGGACGCCTTGTGGGCTTTTCGAAAGAGCTCAGCGCCAACATGCGCTGCAGTTCCGTTGAAGTCCTGCAAGGACGGGGACCCTGCCAGGCCCTGGTTGTCCAGCATGTCTCAGCACAACATGCGGAACACACCCTCAGACGATGCCAAGCAATCCAAGGATCATGATTGTGGATGTGAACAATCGGCGGCGGAAGGCCCTTGGCTTTGAATGTGGCGATCATGGTCTCGACGTGGGCCCAGACAGCGTCTGCTGTCCAGTCTTTGCCCTGCAAGCCGGGCGAGGTTTCTAAAGACTATGCAGGGGTACCTCCTTCCTTACTGCACAATTTTCAGTCCTGGCCAGGATTCTTGATGCGGATCTGATGCAGTTGCAGGCCGGTCTTCGCGAACAAGTCTATCTGGCGCTCCGTCCACTTTTTCAATGCCTGATGACAGAAGCTGCAATTTCTGCCGCTATTGACTGTCTTTCCCTCCAGTTCGGAGTAGCCTCCAATGGGAACTTTGGAGAAAAGACCCAGTTTGGCATTGGCCTTACATTCTCAAGCACGAGAAGTCTAGAGTCACTATGGCTCACCTGGGCCCCGAACAAGCATTTGGCTTCCAGCAACTCCAACGTGGTCTCGTCCTAGCCACTAGTCGCAGTTGGCAACTTTCTGCACAAAAACATCAAATCCTGTCACATGCATGTTCTACGTCAGTCCTGAGGACTGTAAGCAGTGCGCTCGTCGAAAAAATTGCCAGCATGGAAGTTGTAAGGCATCCATGGAACCCAGCCTGAACAGAAACGAGCTAAGTGCTGGCTGTGAATGGCAAGAGCACGGCTTGGGAGAAGGCTCTGAATGTCGCCCCTGCCCCGGTAGTGCTGCGCCACAATCTCGGCGGTGGCATTGAAGAGGGGACGGCCTCGCTTGTACCGAGTAAGACACAAAATTCAGAGCAACTTCCTAGAAATATACAGCTTTCTCGTCCAAGCTGAGCTTCGGATCTCGGGAGTGAGCTCCGCAAGACCATTCACATACTGTGATCGCTGCAGAGAATGCGCCGGCATGTTGAAAGGGAGGCCTGGTTCCGCACAGCTGGCTGTTGCTGTTCTCTCCTTCATTAACTGATACCAAGGTATCCAGGGTCTGGAGGACCAAGGCGGCGGCCCAGGCGGAGGATCGTTGCAGGATCGAATCCGCGAATCAAACCTGCTTCAGCTGCGTTGAGAGGCCATGTACACCCGGCATTGGTGTGTGCCTGCTTGGTACTGCGCGCCACCTGTCTCATAGCCCACCTGCAGATATTGGCAGGAGAAGTGAGTCTCCATGGTCAGTATCAACTCCAAGAATTGAGCTTGCGGCACAGCCGGCTTTCTCTGCCCAAACTTCAGCATTTATCCGGGAGATGTTGCTAACCTTGGCAACTTTGTCAGCACAGCTGCCAATGGCCGCAAGGCGAAACTGACTTTCAGGTCTAGGTCACAGCTCCTTGGCTTGAAGTGAAGTCAAGGTCTGGGATGCAGGCAGACGCACTTTCGGAGTCGTTGCCTTGCTGTGCTGTATCACGTGGGGCCACGGTGACCCAGCCGCCACCCTGAGCAGTGTGCATTGCGCCAGCCATGTGTAGAACAATTCTGTGCCTGTTTATCCAGCTTCGCCCGAAGCTCGGCAATGTACTCCTCGTATGAAGCCTATGCGGTCAATTGTGGAAAGCTTTGGGCCGAGCTGCAGGGCCGCTGGAGATCAATCTTGGACCTCGCCGCGGGCGAATGCTGTGAACTTGTTGGCGGTTGGTGCAGACCTGAGACGAGAGGAAAAGAGCATGCTGAAAAAAGAGAACGTTTATGCCGAGTGGCTTCGTCAGTTCATGGCCCAGCTCTTCTACAGCAGACGTGACGCCTGCACCATCTAAGCTCATTGCATCAGATCTATCAACGACCCTTGCAAAGCATAGCGGGAGCACCCAGAGTCGGGTAACGCTCGGGATCGACGCCCTCGCCCTTGCGGTAGCCATTCACAATGGTCGGAGCAATCTGCTCCTTCAAAACTGTCAGCACCTCAGCTTGAACACCTGGTGGGATGTGCCCGTTACCTTTCAACCCTGAAACCCGTATCAGCGTCTGACACTTCTTTCCGGGTAGTCTGGGATCTCAATGTGAGCAAAGGTCTCGTTTGACGCTGTCTGCCCAGATCGGAACCTGATGAAAGGCTGAAGAGTCTAACACAACAAGATGCAGCAGGGAGCAATTTGCACATGCGTGCTCTGTTTGGTAGCATAGGGAACTGGAAAACGTCTTCAACCCCCAGACCCACTCCCCCAATCTGAACGTCATAACTGCTCGGTAAGGCTCGCGAGATAACCGAGTGAGCCAGCACTTGCGCATTCTGAGTGGGGTGAATAGGAGCAATAATTGCAGCGCTATGCCGCTATGCCTCAAGCTTCATCATTGCTACTTCCCAGCTTTCTGGCACTCCTCAGTGTAGCTGCTTGGCTTCTCGGGCCCCAGGGTTGCGCTGTAGCATGCAAGATGTCTTAAGACGCAGTGGGAATCAACAGTCAAAGCTAGGGAAGGAACGCTGTCTTCCAAGCTTACACAGAACGTGCTCCCATGGGGTTGAGTCAACCATGAAGAAAGTAAACCAGGTGCAGGACAAACTTCTAGAACCATGAGCCCGCACAGGTCGCTCATTGATCCAAATTAGATGGATGTATTCTGACCATGCATTTAGATGGGGCCGTGACTCAGAGTCAATACCTTTTGAAGGGGGTGCGAGCTGCCCTCCAACTGACTGCTACGAGATGGCTTGACGAACGTGTGGTCTGGCAGGTCTGGATTAGTGTCGGGGACTGCAGTTGCCGGAAGTTGTGCGGAAATCAGCAGCAATGCCCTGCGTGTCTTGCCAGGAGGACAAATTCTTGTAAACCGTGACCTTCAGTGGTCATGTTGGGCGGGCTAAAAACCAGGCAACACATGTCATTGTGATTGTTTTTGGTGCTTTTGCTTCCTCCTGTTGCTATCATGTTCTATTAGGTTGCCATTGGCCTGGTTTGCCTTTTCCATCGATTTGCGTGACCTGGCCGCGCTCCAGGACTGTTGTTGCTTCCTACGACTTTTCAATTGAACATTCCACTACTGGGCTTCCGTTGCGCTTCTGCTCTTGTCCTTCCACTTGGGACACATCTTCAATACTTAGACGTATACAAGGGGTGCCTATGCTGGCCGCCTTGGAGCCCTTCCATGCAAATCACCTTCCCCCAAAAAAGTATAATGTTTTACGCCTTTGCATAGGGCCGCGTACGAGAAATTTCATCTTCCGTGTTATCATACGTATGTGACACCTCCTGAATATCTACGATTATGTCAATGGTCCTTTTGCTGTCCCACTTGCATCACGAATGTAACATGCTTATTTCGGAGCGTGATTTGTGGCAATTTGCGGGCACCAAAAGTATCACCACCACCAGCACCACAGCAAAGAGCGCAGGCACTGCCAACAAAAACAGCGCCACCGTGCAAAGTCAGCAAACGAAGCAGCATAGCGTCCACTACACGCCAACAAACAAGAATCATGTCTCTTCACTTCCACCAGTATTGACAAAACTGGATTTCGACTGAAACCTTCCAGCAAGTGTTACTCGCAGTAGTCATCGTTGCCGTCGTCGTCCTCGTCGTCGTCCTCGTCGTTGTCGCCGCCGCCGCCGCCGCCGCCGCCGCCGGCGACGCCGACGCCGACGCCGACGCCGACGCCGACGACGACGACGACTACCATCAGTAGCAGTGCTGGTGCCAGTAGTTGTTGCAATAGCAGCCGCAATAATGCTAGTAGTAGTAATGGCAATAGCACTGACAAATAATTGGCGGTAGCTAGTAGTTTGTTGTACTACTTTTAAGTAGTATGTAAAATGTATTGTAGTGCTAAGCGAGTGCCTGCTTCTACAACCCCATTGTCAAGCGTTCTTGTGGTCAGCCATGTGGGGCGCTCGCTTGCGCGCATCTGATGGCAGCACCCCACTGGACCTGGCCAATCAACCTGGCGACTCAGCTGCTTCTGGTGAAGCTGCTGCGCGTTTTGTCCAAGTCCGATATCTCCAACATCCGTACCCAGAAGGAAACAATCTCCGTAGTGCCCATGTTCGACTGCACCAGATGAACAGAGCATCCATGCCAGCATAATACTGCACTATCCATTTGCGACTGCACCCGATGACCAGGGCATCCATGCCCTGACCAGAGCGTCCATGCCCACAGGATAATAACTTACGGTTATGAGGGTCAGGGGATGGAGTATTGGTGACAACGGAGTAGGGTGCTGGACTGCCAAGGCTTCTATGAATTTGAATAGGCAAATCATGTAGAAGACTTTACTCCATAGAAAAGTTCATCGAAGTATCCTGAGCGCATAGGATAACAGGGAAGCAAGCAAATCAAGCTCCAAACTCGAACCCATCCCAACCCGCACAGACGCATCTCTTTTGTGCGTGTCATCTTGAGCCAATTCATTGGCATCCAGGTACACTTCTCGATTGTGCATAGCTGCAGATTCTCTTGCAAACTTGGTACACTTCTCGATTTGTGCACCTCATGAGAAACACTCCTCCCCGGCAGCTGCGGGGTATGTCAGAAATTGCAAAATGCTGGGACCCCACTTTTTTGGACAAGCCGACCCAAAGCTCATGCGGAAGCATAGTAGAGTTCCACAGTGAAACCACTTGTCAGCTTGAACAGTCCAATCATGCTCAACCACAAAGACCTTCTTATCCCTACAGTACTCGCGTCCACGACTAAACTCCGCCCAAGCACTACGGTAACGTCCCAGAGCACTTGTTGCTGCAAAGCCAAACACGTGGACTCGCGAATCGGGAGGGGGGTCACTTGTGACTTCTCCCGGAGCCACTTGTGACTTCAGAGGAGGGTTACTTGGGACTTCTGCTGGGCGTCACTTGCAACTTCTCAAACACGCCAGTTTGCGACACGTCTCAGCAAAAACCACTGGGGTCACTTTTGACGTCTCTGAATTCAGCTCCGAACACGACATAAAACGACGACAGTTCTGCAATTTATGAGGAGCCCACGCATGCGACTGGCAACAGTCGAGGAGTCACAGCTCCGAAAACGACGACAGTTCTGCTTTTCGTGCTTTTAGGGGTTTATGGTATCAAGGCTTTAGGGTCAAGGCTAGGCTCAGGGTGTAGGGGAGGGGAAATCTGGCTCGGGCTGGGATCTTTGAGGATTGGATTGAGGTTGACAGGGCCAGTGGCTACGGTTTCAACCGTTTAGAGCCAGGGTTCAGGTCTCTTGCTGCTTTGCGTAAATATCTTCCCTGAAAACTGGCCCCTGGGCTTGGATGTTTTCATTGTGGCCGATCGCAGGGTTTTGGGGTCGGAGGGCAAGGCTTCAACGATCTAGGGTCAAGCTTTTGGGCTTCAGGTGTTGCAGGTCGAACAAGGTTTTCCGCAAAATGAATACCTGAATAATTTCCCTGAAAACTGGCCCGGGCTGGGATCTTTTTGGGGTGGTTCGGTTCACGGTTCAGGTTAGATGTGTCAAGGCATCTAGATAGGCTTGGGGGTTAGCTTGGTACGGTAAAAGGGTATAGGGCTGTAGGGATTGCGAGTAACAGTTCTTTTTACATAGCACCGTCGACTCTTTTGGTGCCTAGCAGAAGCTCGGGGGTCTATGTTGCCTTGTCGGCCTGTCTAACGAAAGCCCTTTCAGTCCATCAAGTACGTGTTTCCTCAGAGTTTTTGGGCTCAGGGGTTAGGGTTGAGGGCTGGGGGTTTCAGGAATCAGGACGCAGGGCTTAGAATCTAGAATCTAGGATTAAGGTTCAGGGCTCAGGCTTTGGATGTAATGTTTAGGGCTAGGGTCCGATGTTTAGGGTTTCCTGCCAAGGGTAGCTAGGAATTAGGGTTGGGGCTCATGCTACTGTCAAGGGTCGGAAAAAAGACACTTCTGGAATTCACAAGGAACACAAGCACGCTACTGTCAAGGGTCGGCGAATGAGAGCTCCGAAAATCACGACGGTTCTGCTTTTTCATGAGGAGAACACGCACACAACTGGAACTCCAAAAACGACAACAGCTCCTCATTTTATGAGGAGCACAGGCATGCAACTGAAAGGTGTCGAGAAATCTCACAACTCCGAAACAACGACCATTCCGCGTTTCGCAATGACAAAATGTGACAAACTGTCACAAGTGACCCAAATTATTGTAAGGTCTCGAGCCATCACAGCTTTCAAAACGACGTCAGTTCTGCATTTCGCGACGGCAAAATGTGAGAAGTCACAAGCGACTCACATCGAGAAGTCACAAGCGACCCCCGGGAGAAATCACAATCAACCCCTCTACCTGAAACATCCTGAAACCACTTGTCAGCTGGAACAGTCCAATCATGTTCAACCACAACGACCCTTCTTATCCCTACTCGCGTCCACGACTAAACTCCGTTGAAACGTTAACGTCCCAGAGCACTTGTTGCTGCAAAACAGAAAACATGGACTCGTGAAGCATCATCACGATTCTGTTGTTACTGTCTTCATTATGATGCGGCTATTCATTTCACCATCTGTTCACCGCATTTGCATTATGATTCAGAACTGACATTCTGTCATTATGATTATGCTACCATCCCATCATCATTATGCTTGCAAGTGCTCAAGGGGAAACCTTTTCATATCATTATATTTCTGCGTCTTGGGTTTTTATCTTAGCATTCTATCCGATTCCTGGGGTGTGTTTCCCGCCAGGCACCTTGTAGCAGCAGCAGCAGCAGCAGCAGCAGCAGCAGTAGCAGTAGTAGTAGTAGTAGTAGCAGTAGCAGTAGTAGTAGTAGTAGGAGTAGTAGCAGTAGTAGTAGGAGGCGTACCCCTAAAGCACTACGCTTAGATAAATTCATTGTAAGGACGATAGGTTGGGAATGGGGGACGGGTGGGGGGGTAGTTGCGTGCAACCAGCCCTGAATCGGTAGGTAAATCTGAGACTTCGATCCACACTGGCATCCATTGTCCCAACATAACCAACACGAAGCCCGCTTGCATTGGAGTTGTCATATATTCCGCAAGTGCCATGCAAAGTTGGTAGTGAATTAGTTAGTTGGTTAGTTTGTTGGTTAGTTGGTCAGTCAGTCAATCAGTCAGTCAGTCAATCAGTAAGTCAGTCAGTCAGTCAGTCGGTCGGTCAGTCAGTCAGTCAGTCAGTCAGTCAGTCATTCTTAATTCCTGATTCAGTTTTGTGGTGGTGGTGGTGGCTGTGGCTGGGGCGGCAGCGGGAGCGGGGGCGGTGGCCGTGGTGGTGGCGGTGGTGGTGGTGGTAATTTTGAAAAACGACACAGAGATTTAGCTCCGCGCCACTTGCCTTGGACTGGTGAAGAGGTTGTACAAAGTCTGAGCATACGTGGAGGCTGCCTCGGAACATGATAAGTGCGCTTGGTGCTGCATCTACATGTTCAGTAATCGGCCGAGAAGCTCCCATGACTGCAGGCTTGCGCAGCCTGGGCACTCGGGCCACACTGACCAGTGTAAGTTGCTGGTTGGGGCTCTTTGAGTGCCAGGCCTGAAGTACTCAGCCGCGTTGTCGCACATCTCATCCCAGGAATCTGCCGTGATGACTGCCTGCAGATGTAGAACCAAAACATCCAAAAACATCAAAGGCCTCATAGAAACATGCCTTGCCGCCTTGCCCAGCTGAGGATCAGAGGTGAAGGAGATCTCTCCAGGAGCCAGCAGCTCTGCTTTGATGTAATCCAGCCTGGTCAGTGGCGCCCCACTCAGCGCACGCAGCACTGCTCTGTGAAACTTTGCAACAGCTGAGGGCCAGGTCCGAGGTCCGGTCATTCCCAAAATATTTCCGGCCTGAATCAGTTCTTGTTCTCACTGCTTACACCACTACAGCCCTTTCCCCACCTGGTAGGTGATCTTGCCGTGGCTGTCCGGGTTGCCGTGTAGCCACCGTGCATGCAGGACGATGGAGCAGTCCTTGGCCGGCGCAAAGGTCGGCGCTGGGTAGCCTTTGGCACCTCAGACGAGAGACGAGGTGCGAATCAGCCAGAGCTTGCTTCAGGCTGACTGACTGAACCACGAACTCATGAACCCGGGCACGCATCATCAGCTCTGCGAAGGTGTAGCGGCGATGGCCCTTGCTGTCAGTCTGCAGCAGCGCCAAGGCTTCCTTAGAGACGCACAGAAGTGCTGGCAACTTGCGAGCACCACGTTCGCACATTACTTTACAGATCGCTTGCGTGGTAGAGAGTCCGTGTCTGAGAACCTACTCGCTCAAGAGAGATAGTACCGGGCTGAAGATTGTTTTTTCGCGTTATTCATGCTGGCTGGCTGGACATGGCTGGATGTGCGGATTTCTCTCAAGCTTGAACACATCCAGCAAGCAGGCTAACGCGTGCAACCTGTTGACAACCCCTGCTTGCGCAGAGAGCGATTGATTATGAGACTTTCTGGATATTGCGGAGTTGCTGACATGAATATGTCCAATCTGATGATGGATAAGCATCATTCTCAACTTGCGGCCGGCGGTTGCACTCAATGAACGAGCACTCGTACTCACCTGGCTGATGAGCCAGCTTCAGTGCAGCGCATTGCAGATCACTCACTCGGTGCCACTCACCCAATCGTTGACATTCTTATCATCCCGTTGCTCAAAAGCAGTCCGGACCGCCCTTTTCGTTCTTGAAGACCAGGGCTTCCATTGTAGCCCTACAAGGCAGATGGAGAGAACAAGCGGAGGTAGCATGTATCACTACTTATGCCTTGTGTTGTTCTTTCCCATCTTGGCAATGTCTCCCGCCCACTTCCGCGACTTCTGATAGAGGTCTTGTGGCCTCGGTAGACCGGCACAGCAATGTGGGGTGCTGTTCCCGGCACATGCACTGAAACGCATGAAGCGGCAGCAAATTTAGCATTGCCTTGGCAGGCACATATTGTTCAAGTCTAGCTTCGTCCAAGCTCTAGACTAAGTCCTGCCAGGATGACGGATGAAGCCCCGCAGTCACATTTTGAATGCTCAACACCCTCGTTGCTAGTTGCATTGGCTACTATCGTTCGTCTCAGTTAACATCATGACCTCCACAAGGCTGACTAGTGCCACAGAAAAAGAAAGAAGCATAGGAAATCAGCCGAAAGCGTTCTGCTGACACCAGGGTTCCGTTATTGCCACAACCTTCTTCACACGGGTAAACCGTGTCATTACAAATGGTTGGGAATACCCTTCTCGATGCAGGTAGAAGATTGCTAGGGATCGTTGGTGGAGTTGCATGAACACACATACAAGAGACATAAACAGGTCGATCTTGTCGTCGCTGAGGCCAATCTCCACCACCTCTCAAAATGAGTAGATGTCTATGGTATCTCTCTGCCAGCGGTGCTGTCTTGCTGCGCTTGTGGATAGTGTCTGCTTACAATCCCCAGCAAGTCGACGTGGAAACCCAGCCGACCCACGCCTAGCTGGTCGGTTTCTCAGCTGGGCTCTGTTGAAATCTGAAAGGCGGTGTGGGTCAGTAAGTACCTGCCTACCTGCATGCCTTGTGTCAGAGTCCCTGGAGCTCGTCTCTCGTTGAAAGTGCGTGAACGTGTGTGGGCTCATCCAAAAGCACATAGCAACGTGCACCGGTTCAGCTCATACTATGTCTCTTCTGGCATCGTGCACCTGGCCTTCTGCAGGCCCGAGTTGAACCACACGAATCGGCCCCCATCAGCCACAGTCTCTCCATCCACCTGGAAAAAGCGAGACAGAGATCAACAGTGATAAGAGCGAAGCGAATACAAGGCGTTTCACTTTGTAGCTCAGTCTTTCACAGCTTTCAGCATCTCCCCTCTGCTCCTTCTCTGCCTGCCTCGAGCTCAATCTGATAGAAGCGTCCATCACCTTTCGTGTTCACCTCGCGAGGCGAAGGGGGAAATGAGCCAAGTGGCAAGACGGAGGGAAAATGAAAATCCAAGGGGAGGCAGACGCAAGACGAGAAGAAACAGAAACGCTGATGGATAGGGATAAATGTCAGAAATGGAGGACACACGGCCTGGTCGACAGATCTGGCGAAGACACTACAAAAGCCTTGCTGAATCAATTTCCCCCTCGCATAGCAATTCCAATCCAAACGCCCGTTAGCCGTTACCATCTCCACCACTTGCCAGGCAAGCAAAGACCCTCCTGGCATCAGTGGTGTGCTGTCGGCAGTATGAAGTTCAACTTTGGCTGATCTCATAATTGCTAGATGAGGTGTGCCTTCTCTAAAAGGCACGAAAACGTTGTGTGCAGTAGCCTCTGTCAAGAAGCGCAGTTCACGGATTGATTATGGAGAGAAGGAGTGAACACAGATCGAGTCAGTCTTCTGGCACAAGACAACCCAAGCCATCCCAGCCACGGCAATCAATATAACATGCTGGAATGCGGGAAGCTGCGGCACTCCTGGCAGACAAGTGGCCCGCTGCTCAAAGTAGATCCCATCAGTGCGATTCATTTCGGTGATCACCTTCTCCACTGCCCTGCGAACCTCGCGGCGAACAAAAAGACCGTTCACGTGAAGGACGCTTTCTGAGTCGCCTCCTCCGGCTGATCTGGATGATGCAGGTGGGCAGTGCCCTTGCCACCACCGCCGTGAATACTCTTGATGAGGCCTCGGCTCTTGAGTGACTTCACAAAAAGGCAGTTTATAGCCCTCAGCCCCGCCTTTCTCGGAGAAGTTCATGGCCAAGACCTTCTGCATGAAATCCTGTACACAAGCCTGCGCGGGCTTAGACCATGGCTGTGGCAAAACCGAGAGTCGAGGCATTACTACTTCCAACGCAGCCATTATTTCCTTTCTCGTTAGACTGCTCTGCCATGGCTCATAGCTGCACACGTTCGCTGCTAGCGATGTAGCCATGAACGCTGAATCGGACCGCGTTCAGGAAGCGAGGTCCTGTGCTTGAAGCCCTTTCATAGAGCTTCGTCGTCTTTGGCTAGCCAATGGAACATGCTTGTAGGCGTTTCAAGTTTCGCCTTGTCTGTTAACCCACTTGTGTGCGTTGAAACATTGAGCAAATTGGGCGGTCCTGAAGCGGCCTATTGCACAAACCGCCTTTTCGTCTTTCAGTTGCGCGGCTTTGAGCAGTGGCGGCTTCATCTTCCACTCCCATGGTTACCACCTCGCGCGTCTTGGCGGGCGCAGGCGAAGTCGCCTGCAGCATACTTTCCGCAGCTTTCCAAGCGTGCCTTTTGGTTCCTGAGGAAGGCGCTCAGTGAAACCACGGGCGACAGCACGCCTATGACGCGCGGCAGCCTTGCACTGGCTTGCGGCAAAAGGCCGTGCCTGTGGCGGATGCTCGCCATTCCAACCGTTGTTCCCGGGCTTTTTGGGTGGATTTTCCGAGGCTGGACGCAAAGCCGCTACTGTTCGCACATGCCACCTCACAAAATCCTCATGCAACGGCTTGATCGTGCAACCTTTCGGGCCGTGTTTCACCGTGGCTTGGAGTTGGGGCTCGCCGGCGAGGTTGCAATGAGAAAAAGCCCGAAAAAATCTTTGTCTACTCGGCATAATCTGCAAAGCTGGATGTACGGTGGGAGCCTCACAACAGCGCCCGGGAACAATCTGGCCACACTCTGCGCTCGATTTCTTGATGGCCGGGCTTCCACAAGTTCAAGTGTGATCCTTCTAAATCTTGGGCTCTCACCCTGCTTGAACACTTCTCTTCAGGTCAATAGTCAAAGTTTTCCTGGAGGTCCAAGCACGGATACAAGAAGCAGTCAGACTCAATTTGTCGCGCTTCCCCAAACTCTCGCTGCACTTCCACCTGGGGATCACCCAACCTAGAACGAAACAATTCTTTTGGCTGTTCTTTGTCTGCGTGAAAGTGGTTAGGATGGCAGGCAGTTCCTTCACGCGCAACCATTGAGAGGTGTAGTTCCACACGGTTAAAGAGAAGCTGGCTCTTCTGAAAAATGGCGTCTTCGTGGAAGGGGCGCAGCTTACCGCTTACCCAAGTCGAGCTCGACCTGCCGAGAATTCTGTTACTCGCGCACTTCAATTTGGGTAGCTGTTGGTGAAGATTCTTGAAACCACGGCAGAAGTTCAGGTAAACCTGCACAGCGGATTCGTTGGGTTCCTGTGCCCCGAGCGCAGTACAGTTGATGGGTCAAAAACACCGGACGGAAGGGCACGGCACACAGCCTGCACGAAAACTCACATGTGTTCATGGAGCTCGCAACGACCTGCCCGGGAAGGAGGGACACGAATATTTGTTCCATTTTTGTTCCGTCAGAATTTGTCACTGTTTGGTGAATTTGAAGCAGAGGATGCAAGCTTGAAGGAAGAGTTTCCGCTCCACCGCCGCCTCTTTGGCCTCGGCATTGGTGAGATCCACCAACTTGGCATCTTCTTCTGACAGCACCGTAAAGGGCGGGGTCGGTGCTCCAACCGCCTCACCTGTGAAGGTCGAGGACTTGACAAGAACCCAAGATTTTCAGAATAAACACTTCAGAGCTATCAGAAGCTGAGCGGCAGATGCGCTTGAAGCCAATCTTTTCCAAGCCCTGCGATGCTTTTGGCTCGGTGCCAGGCCAGACAAGGCCCAGCTCCTGTACTCCCACAGCAGCTTCGGCAGACTCGGCAAAGGCGGACCAGCCCGGCATGAAGACGACCTCGACTTTTGCAGACCAAGCTTCCCAGACAAGTGGTTCTGCAAGGTTTTTGGTCTTGGCCTGCTTTGCGTCTCGGTGCCGGCTCAGCTCATGATCCTCAAGGCCATCACGTCTTGGTCTTGGCTCTTAATACAGCCCTTTTTTCAGGTCCTGAGTGCACAGGAAGTCCAGGCGCTCGCGAAAGTGCTTCAGGTCACCCCACGTCTTCGGCTTAACATACAGGGCAGCATCCATTCCCGGCAACCTTTGCTTTCCCTCCTGCTGGCATTCATCACTACAAGTAGCAAAGCCTATGTACATGCAGATGCAAAACGCAAATCCTCCAGAGTCTGTATGACGCGAACAGAACTGCCCCAAACAGCACGGATATCCGCAAGAACGGAGTTGGTGGCATGCTTGGACTGGTTGTAAACGATAACCTGCGGTTGGGATGCCCCAATCAAGGGCATTGTTGCTGCCAACAGCAGCTATCTGCACATCTCATCCTACTACGCCTGCTACATGTTGCAATGAAAGGCTCCTGCACGCGTTCCCTTGCAATGTTTCTTTTTGTTCAACATCTGCATCGTTCACCTGTAGCCTTTGGCACGGCGTTCCCTCAGCAACTGACGCAGCGCAAACTGCAGACCAAGGACGCATCGCTTTGTCTCATGCTTCGTCTGTGTTTTCTTGCAGAGCACCGGGAGCACCGGAGTACAGCCGTGCAAACAGGAAGTGCGGAAAATGAGCAGATCGCCCCGGTTCATGGTCGCTTCATGCTTACGGCCGTTGACAAGAGTAAAGAACTTCCCACCATCAAAGTCTTCACCATGCTGGTCTAGCATCAAGACCATTTGCAGCGGAAACGAGACCTCACCGTAGACATCACGATGAGCACGATTTTCCCCTCCTTCTTGGTACCAAAGAAACAAGTTGCTCGGTCTGGTCTGGCCTTTCTTGGCGCAGAGCTCTTCGAATTCCAGTAACGTGCGCGGAAGGGTGTCGAACCTTTTGCCTGTCGTATTCAATGAAAAGGTCCGCCTCGAAGACTGCAATTCAAGCCTATGAGATTCTAAGAACGCATCGGCAATAGGGAGCAAGGCTTCGTATGCGACTTCACGAAGCACTGCAAGCTTCACAGGGAGATGCCTGAGATAGTCATAACCTTAGGTTTGGTGGTCCGCCAAAGCTGCAGAAACCGAAAACAAAAAAAAAGAGTCCTTGCTACCCAGTGACCACCCTTGCCCTTGTTTTGTCGTTCCATGGTTACAGGTCCTCCTTCCAAAAGCCAGGGCAGTTCCTGCAGCAATTCATCCACATCTATTGCGGTCAGGGCCCCAGGCACAATGGAAAAGCCAACTTCTTCAAGCTCACGCTGTATGGAAGGGCTGCGTGACCATGGTTGAAAGCACTCTTCCCAACGTCTTCGATAAGCTGTCACAGGGTCCGGGCTCTGTCCGCACCAGGCTGGCCCATCGCGAAAGCTACAGGGACCCGCTTGACCATGCATCAGGGCAGGATACATTCAATATGTAACAAACTGTACTATACAAAGCCGCGCTTGACAGCTGCGGCTCTTCTATTGCATAGGCTCTTGGCGCAGACCTGCAGAGACCTCAGGCCTTACATTACAGTAACCATTCAGCTCTTTACAGATTGTGCCAATATGCTTGCAGCTTGCATGTAAGCATGGTGCAAACAGGCTAGCTCAGTTAAGCCTCTAGAGCTTACAGGCATGGAGCGCACCGTGGGAAAGGGCGGTTCTGGTGCTAATGGTGCAGAGATGTTACCCTGTCCACGCTGCTGGCACACCTGCCAAGAGCACTGGATTGGATTTAGACTTTTTGTTCGCAATTTCTGAGTGCCTGGAAAGCCTGTACGGCTGGCACATTCCTCGGGCCCCGCACTGCACCTCGTCATGCGAGGAACTGGCAGTGGCACGACTGATGAGAACCATCGGCTCCAAGGCCGGCGCGGACTCGCGAGGAGCCGCTGACCAAACACTGCGAGAACTGCGAGGCACGCCGGGAGAGCTTGGACAACATCACGTTGCCCACACGTTGTCGGCCTCCGAGCGCGCAAAACCTCCGCCCAGCTACTGTACCAGCACGCCTAGCGTTGCCTGGAGATGTGTGCACCGGACGGGCGACACAAACACTGAGCCAAAGGGGCAGACCGGCGCATGATTTCACAAAGGAGATGAAAAGGCAGGCTTTTACACAATGATGGCTCGGTAGTTAGCTGCATGAAACGCGCTCATTTTGGAATCGATTGCCTATGTGGTATGCGCGGTATGCTCTCTTGATGGCCGCCGCAGCCTCAGAATGAAAGACAGGTCGATGCTGGAGTTCGCAGGCAGCTTTCCAAGACCCATACCTAGCTTCAATGCTCTTTCATGCGGCTGTCTATGGCCGTCTCATACCAGACCAGCAACTTGTAAGACTGTTTGGACTAACTACTTGCTGTGCAAGACACTGCCGCTGGATCTCCAGCAGTTCGATCTCCAAGTCTCTTTTCTCCGCCCTGTGAGAAGTGGCCAAGTTTTCTCACGAATCTCATGCAGACGATACAACCCAGATTGAAAGGCTGACTGTGGAAGGTTTGTTCATCCCGCATGCGCCTGGAAGACAGTTGACACGGGGCCTCACGCTCCCTTGTCTCCAACTCTACAAGGCCTGCACTGGGCAACAGTACTGCAAACCGACAAAGGATTTAGGACTTAGTTATTCTTTCTTGGCGGGAACTATTTTTGTTTGTTCTTGTTCTTGTTCAGAGCATCCCGCTAGAGCGTGGAGCTTGCACCCCACGCCGGAGCACGATTTCAAGCCAAACTGCGAGGGCTCGGCGAGGATGCTCCACGCGAGAGCACGATTTCATCCTAAAATGCAAGAACGCTCTGCGAGAGCTCGATTTCACGCAAACGCTCCACGCGAGGGCGCGATTTCTAGCCAAACCGCGAGGAGGCTCGACCCAAGAGCGCGTTCAAGCCAAGATGAAAAGATGTTCCATGCAAGAGCGCGATGTCGAGCTCCATAAGAGATGAGGAAGCACCCACCAGGCATGAAGCCTGCCGAAGGCATTCGACACAAGATCGTAGCTTAGAGCAAACATGCAACGATTTTTTCACGCGCGAGCACCACTTCCTGTCGAAGCGTGAAGAAGCCCAGAGGTTAGTGTAATGTCAAGCCAAACAACAACATCAAAGCGACGACAGCTCTGCACTTCGCAACGGGCACTCGCACGGGAGCTCCAGAATCCCAGTGTTGCAGGCAACCTCTGCTTGGGACGATACTCCACAGTTTGATAACATACTGATCAAATGTTGATCTTGTCTGACCCCAGAGGCGCACCCAGCCACTGGAGCAGCGTCCATGTACTGTAATCCTTGCTCTTGATTAGTAAGATAGATAACCTGGGGGCCCAGTATTCTAGGGATCCCCAGCCGTCTCAAATCCGCTTTCATGCATGTTACTTATTTTACGTGTTTTCAGTTGAGCGGTGGTTTTTTATTCTTGTATAATTTCATTACAGAAACTACCCCTTCCGCCAAGCCCTTCCGCGATCCTTCCGCAAGTAGCGCTTGTAGTCTTTTTTGCTTCCGCCTTCCGCGGCTGCTTCCGCGAGTGTTTTTCGGCTGAATTTTGGGATCTGCTTCCGCGAAAGGGCTTCGAAGATTATGCAGGGATTTCCGCGCACGCTCATGAG